TGACCATCCATTTAAGGGTAATACACAGTACTAAATTTTAGTTTTGTGCTAGCCTGCTTGAACAATTCTTTCCAAAATATCTAAGAAAGACCTGATCGTGATCAAAGACTATAGTTGAGGGATACCCTTAAAGTTTGACAATTTCTCACACAAAATGCTAAGTCACATCAGCAACAGAGTAGGAGTGACTGAGGGCCAGAAAGTGAGCATATTTAGTGAGTCTATCCATCGTTACTAAGATTGTATCCTTCCTTCTAACCTTGGGTAATCCTCCAATGAAATCCATCAATATATCCGAACAAACCTATATAGGAATGGGCAGTGGCTATAACAATCCTGTAGGAGCAAGAGTCTCATTCTTATTGCATTGGTAAATCTCACACTGTATCACAAACTCCTTGATTTCTCTCCTTATCCTCTTAAATGTTCTAAAATATGCAGCATGACAACGAGTAGTGGATGCATGTAATTTCCTTATAATCTCTTGGATTCGTGAAAAATGCCTTGGTAATACCAGCTTCCAATGGTAATACAGTTTCCCCCTGACAACTCAGTGTGTATGTGCTTTAGGATCCACCAATAAGTCTTGCATTAATGCATACAATCGAGCGTCCTTTTAAATTTCCAGTTCTCAACCCTCCCACTCTTCTGTTTGTAAAATTGACATGGCAAAGAACATAACCTTCCAAAAAAGAGCATCAGCTTCTATATTTTCCTTGCCTAGCCTATATAGTATTCCAAAATCAAATCTGAAAAGCTTGGAAGCCCATTTAAATTGTTCTTCCATCAACAAATGGAACAACCTCAATTTCATTAATGAGTGGTTATGATATATTAGGAATTGTTATCTTAAATTGAATTTTTAGGAATAAATAAGAATTCTTTAAAGACCAATTAAGTAACAATTTTAATATTAACCTTAGGAAATTTAAGACTTGAAAACAGCCATGAACTTGACATGTAAGCTTGGACAAAGACACACTAGTTTAAGAATCAATTAAACATGTTTTGAGAGACAATCTTAGGACCAAACCAAAGGAAGAATCGGTGCATCCATAGGGATCATAAAGCACTTAGGAAAACTAAATTCAATGGGACTTAAGTGCAGCCCAAAAATTCACATGTAACCTTCGGCAAAGTTTGGTTGAATTGAACCTTGTGTGCAGCCAAAAAGGTGATTTAGGAGCCTTAAAACCGTGCCAAGCATTGGCTAAATAAGAGCCTTATTGAGCACAAAAGGTGATCTAAAGTAAGTCAAATGAGAAACTTGTTATCATGGCACAAAAATGTGACCAATCCTTAAGAAATTGCAATCCATGTTGACGTGAAAATGGCCAAGAATTTATGTCAATTGGAAAACAAGCCAAGTTCAGCCACCTTCACACATCCAAATTCTAGAAGAAATCATCCAAGTATAAGCTTATTTATCACAAAAGAAAAGTCTAAGTCAAATAAGTAATCTCCACCATAATGACCAAAAATGATGACAAGGAAACATATTTTTTACCCATGAAGTGATGTTCAGAATTTAGCTTGGAAAGAAAATAAAACTATAGCACTTTACACGTCTAATATCACGTCAAACATACACCTAAGTGGCATATAGTCCTAGTCTTTTTCTAAACCAACAAAAACATCATTTTCTCACCAAACATAGCTAGAAGTGTCACTAGCAGTGGGTAAAGTACTGCACTATTCTAACATGGACTAGAGCATACCAAGACTAATTGGAATGTGTATCACTAGAAGTGACCACATAAATTGATAATGTTAATGTGCACTATGAATATATGATCCCGTGATGATTAATGTACCATGTGTCACTGTCTAGATTCCAGGTATGGAACTTACAATCATTCAATCATAAAACATAAAGTTAATTATAGATATCAATTATTCTACGGAGAAAATCTGAAAGAAGACTTGTTATGTAATGAATAATTGATTGTTCAAGTATAAATATTAGTTACTCGTGTCCATCGGTATTATATATTCCTTATGGAATAGTTTGAGTTGGATATACTCACCTTTCTGTATCTTATGTCTCTTTTGTGTAAACAATTGAGAGTAAAATGAATAACGGAGGTTCCGACATGTAATGCATGGTATTCTCTTTTGGGGCAGGTCAATGGGATTACAATCCGGTCAATCAAACCATTATATTCATAGGGAATGTGCAATATACTCTAGCAGAGATAGACAAACCCTATGTGCACCCATTGTAGTGATTGATCTATTGAGGGTTGAGATTCCTTTTTCCCTGAAGTGTGCTTTGCAATACCTAGGTTTTCAGATTAATAGACCAGGTTTTAGCAGTGGTTGTGGCTAGAAGAATGACGTGTTTGGTGATCAATTTGCCTTGAATAATGCATATATGTGTAGATAAGTTTGTTAGTATCTTAATTTAGGACTCCTTTCATTTTCTCTTTCATTGTATATATTTGCTAGAGAATAAGGAAGAGAAATGAATGTAAATATGACTTAGTATTTTATAAAATATTCACTATTGTATAATATATGTGTGGCTATGTTTTAAGTGATTGGTAATAGTGTGATGATTATTAGCATGTATGTTTTAAGATGACCATACATTTATGGACAACTTGAGGCATGTAGGAGGAAGCGAAGATGGCAAATCTTCAACTGTTGATGTAAATTACGATTGATGGAGGTGAGAACATTCTATTATCCATCTAGATGTAGAAAATGGATGAAGGGGCACTAGGAATTTGTTTCCTAGAAGGGTATTCAGACTATTCTAAGCCCAAAGGTAATGGGTGTCTCTAGCCTAGCCAGCCCAAGTATTAATTTTGATTGATTGGGTTGGATTATAGCTTTGAAGTTGATAAGGGTCCAAGTATCTTTTTGCTTTTACGTTCCTCTTAACTCACACTTGGTCTCTTGTAATAAGACCCAAGGAATAATAGGCTATTTTTCGACAACGACTACTCAAAATTGAAGGGTAATCTTCTGCAACATTGTACGTTTCCAACATCTAGTCCCATTGTCAGATTTGGTAGTGAAGCTGCTAGGAGGAGGGTATCAAGGTGCAGGTGTAATAGTAGGGAAGCTAGTGCCTGGGTGGCCATCTACATGTTGGGTTTGGGGGTTTATTTTGCATATTTGGTTACTAAACAAGGACTTGAATATTTTGAATAGTTCACAACACCGAGTGGAAACAATGGGGTATGTAGTAATGACTTCCAATATGTTGCAAGTGAATTATGCAAATGATAAGTTAAGAAGGATGGGACACAAACTCTTTATTGGCATGTGTCCAAGGAACGTTTCTATGATTAACATCCTCGTTTGGTTCTCCAAATATCAAACTATAAAATACAAGTTGTAAGAGATTCACAACAAATGAGTACAGGGGGTGTATGTTTCAAGTATGGAACAAAAGAACAAGCCACTCAGGAGGCAATCAATGATAAATATACAATGAAGGGATGATATGTTAACTGATTATCAAATAGGCTGGTACTGAAAAAGAAAAGGCAAGCTAAGCTCAGAGGGTACCCAATGCACAAACCCAAGCTTCTAGTGCCAATTGTAGTATACTGATCCTTGATATCAACCTGCAAGGCTGGACGGGATTCAGGGCTTTGTGTGTATGCATACAGGTTGTGTCTCCATTGCATTATGTAGTTATGAATCTCCAGGTAAACTCAAGCATCATAAACCTGGGTTGCTGAATTCATTATGTGGTGTTAACTAAAAGAAAGGTTCACAATTTGGCCTCTGATTATAAACAATTTGGAAAAAGTAGTGACCTTGCAGTACCAATTTTCAGCCAAGGAGACTTAAAAGGGACAAAAGTGACTGGATTTGATGAGGAGAAGTCACTAAGAATGTCACATGTAATCCTTGAGAAAAAGGTCAGTCAGCCTAGAGTTTCTGTTGCCTCTACACTTATGGAGAATGGTGATGTTCCTCAATCTGCTATACCAGAAACTCTACTGAAGAAGATAGGACGGGTCTACAATTCTGTGGTAATTATTCTAAGTAGGCATTTCTCCATCTTGTATGATTATAGTGGAAGGTTAAAATGGTTCGAAAGGTTTGCATCTGTTAACAGTGGTGCAGTCAAGATGGTAGGCCTTAATTTCAGCCTTGAGGACAACACTGCAGTTCTAGAGGGCGATAATGATGGGAACCAGGATAAAGGGCCTAGGTCAAACCTAAATAAAATGAGTAAGTTGGTTATAATTGGAGGAGTGTGTGTAGCATGTGAAGACTGAGGGGATATATAAGAAGAGAGTGGGATACATGAGAGGCAGCACTGCAATGGTTTGTTATGTAGCTGTTTAGTTAGGCAGTGAATGCATAAAGCATTACTCTGAAGGAGTCATAGGCTTTGGGCTGGTTAGGGTTTATCTCTCCTAGAATATTTGTTCTATAATTCACATTTTAATCAATACAATTTCTTCTATTTCTTATAATACATTTGAGAGTCCTATCAATTTCTCCCATTATGACAAAGCATTGGAATGACCAACTCCCAAATTCATGATTATTAAAGAGCTTTATTAACATTTCGATACAAAGTTACACAGTGCCTAGTCTGCATCGCTCCTGATGAGAGGAGAAGGAAAACCCTCCTAAGATTATTAAATATTAATTGACACCCTTCTGTCTTCTGTTAGAGAAAATCAAGAGAAGAATACAAATAGGATTGACTAACTCAATTTTGTTAGTCTCACTTTATCTATATTTATACCGAAAAATAAAGATCAATACAAGAAAGATAGGTCCAGCTCCAGCCCAGTAAAAAGAAAAAACTATTAAGCACATAATACAAAACACTCTTCATCAATTTCCAATCATATTTTCATTTTCAACCAAATTTAAGAATATTTTTCTCATTCTTTCCTTTATCATAGTATTATGTCAGAAACTACAATACAAAATGAATAACACATATATGAGGGAAACTAATATGACAAAAAGGAGAATAAAGATCACCTGAGAATGACGAGTAAGGGCGAAAGAGAACTTACATATAAGGCCCTGTAAAAGTTTAAAACATTCAATCAAAACCAGTGTCAGGTTGTACAGTGCCAGCTTTCATAGCATGAAAAGAAAATAACAAAAGTACATTGTAATTCACCTGGAAGACCCTTCAAGGCATTGAAACAGAGGCAAGTGTCTTCAACCAACACGGGTCCATTAACCTTGCCATAAATAAAACAAGTATCAGAAAAGGTTAGAAAAACAAACAAACCTAAAATAACACAAGCCTAAGTATGTATGAGAGAAACGGTAAATAAGTAAAGTACCTGAACAGCAGCCAGTCGAGCCTTCTCTTTGGAGATATCTTCAGGATCTCCTTGCATCTCTGGCACTGGAAAGTGCAGACAAACAAAGAAACAAATAAATAATAAAAATACGAAGTAGAATAAGGCTCTAAGATAACCTCCAAAGAGTATATGTTAGGTATTTGAAAGAACTCGCCAAAAACTTATAAAAATAGCTTATAATTCTCATAAGAAGCTCTTTTCAACTCATTCAAATAAATGTTATGATAAAATTTATGCTATAACTTATCAAATGATGAACAAGCAGAGGGAAATACAAAAAATGGAAAAACAATTGAAAAAGAAGAAGTTGGCGGGAAAGAGTGATTATTACAGTCAAGTTTGAGGGACTGAAAGGGAATAGATTGGCCCAAGATGGAACGAACTTCTTCGAGCTTTTTGGCATTGCCAGTGACAAAAGTAACAGGACGTGACAGAACAAACCCTCTTGCAGCAGCCATTTAACAAATCTTGTTGGATACTTTCTGCAGTGGCAATCGCTGAGAATATCAGAGAGACCCTTTGCTCTAACATAAAAAAATGGACTTGACTTGGAATTTATATTTATAATTTCACACACATCCGTAAGTACCTTTGTAGCGCCGATCCAAGGCCCACCAACGCAAAGCAGATATGGTGTGAATAAGTTTAAAAAATATATATAAATTTTTCAGATTTTTTTAACCAGCTAATTTTTTTCTTTCTTGTTTTTTTCCAAAAATTATTTTACTGAACGTATTTTAAAAAGAAAACACAGAAACATTACCAAACAAACTTAATGTTATGTTTGGATGGAATGTAAAATAGGAGAAAAAACCAAGTAAAAAAATGGAATATAAAACAGCAGAAAAGAACAAGTAAAAAACCTGTCGTTTAAACTGATACAAATAAGATAATGTTATTAGATGAGAAATGAGAAAATAAATGTTGTTTAAATTGATACAAATAAGAGAGAAATAAGTTTATGCTGGATGAAAAAGAAATTTAAAAAAAAAGATAGTTTATATTAAAAAATATTTTTAACAAAAATTAAAATTTTAATATAATAGTTTTTTAATTATGTAGTTTTTTAATTATACCATTTTGAGTGAGAAAAATAAATGACAAATCCTAGGTGAGAGAGCTTTTTAAAAAAAAGTTTAATTTATTTTATTACTTAATTTTTTACCTTATAAGCACTGGTGAACACTCAATCTTATAATGATTCTGTTTTTACATACACAATATTAAAATTAAAAATTTAAACTATTATCAAAATAATGAAAATTCTAGCGTAATAAAAGATATATTTAAAAAATAGAAATATATAATTTATTTTAATACTATTGAATAAATAGTATAACAATAATATCATTTCAGATTGAGAATAAATTTAAAATTATAAACAAATAAATTTAAAAAAAAAGGTTGAAATATTTTGATATATAATACTAATTTTTAGAAATTAAATAATTATATAAATAAATTTCATTATTTACATAAATAATTTCCAAATTATTGAAAATTTATTTTATTTATTACTCAACAATATTTAGTAACACATTTTTATAAAAATAATAATCAGAATTCTTGTTATTTAAAATAAAAAAAAAGTATAACAATTAACAATATTTTAAATGAAGTTATCGGCTACGATTTTAAAACATACATAAAAAAATTTAAAATCAAAAACCAAAATTTTATTAAAGACAAATAATATTAAATTTTAAAATGATATTGTTAGAATAGTATTTTTAAAAAATAAAAATTATTAAAGATAAATAACATTAAAATTTAAAATGATTTTATTAGAATATTTTTCTAAATGATTCAATATCAAATAGTACTCTATAGCAAAGTTTTATAAGAATATATAAAATATTTTAAACTAATCTAAAAAAATACTACATTAAATAATATTTATTTGAAAATAAATAGATAAATATATCTAAAAATAATAAAAATAAATTTCTTTTAAAAAATACAAATAAAATTTCCTTATAAATTAATATTAAATAATTTAATATTTAATAATTATGTTTAATTCAATATAAATTAGTTGTTGAAAATAAATATAATAAATTATTTTTTTAGTTAAACTGTCAAACTAATCAAATAAATTTTTTCTATTTTCTCTCTCTTACCTTTTTAGTCAGCCACGCACATGTAACCAAAAAGAAAATACATATTTTTTTAGGACTATTACTTTTTTTACTAGTTTTCATATATTTATATTTTAAAATTGAGTAAACTTTTAAATTAATTTCTAAATTTGTGAGGATCAAATAAATTGATTCTTAAAATTTTTACATAAACATGTTAATTTTTAACTTTATTAAATGTTAGACATTTTAATCTATTTAACTCTTTTTATAATAAGAGTGTTAACTTTTATTATTAAGTGACACATGAATTGTCAAAATAACATCATTTTTCTTTTATTCACCTTAAAATGATGTTATTTTTCTCCCCTTTTCACCCTTCAATCCCTAGCTTCATGGTTGATCATCTAGTTCCACCTTCACCTAAGTGACACCTACTTCTCCTAATAAGTTCTTCACTTACAACTCTTGCACTTCACGAAAGAGTTGTGCGCTCGTTGACCATTTAAAGACTAATATGAGAGAAGGAAAAGTTAAATTTTTCTTGAGATTTTCCCATTTTCAAACACTTAATCATTTAAAAATAATAATTTATGGCTTTTGGGGAGGCTAGTATACATATAAATTTTTTTTACCAATTTATATATAATACATAATTAAGTATTTATTTTGGGAAGCTAATTTTAAAATAAAATTTTATAACTTTTACAAATTAAGTTTTCTCAATTATCATTATCTTTATGTTCTTTTAGATAATTTTTATGAATAACAATAATTACAAATTCAGTATTAATAATTATTTAATTTCATCAAATTAATTTAATTTTTTATAAATTTTAATAATTTTTATAAATTAAGTCTAATTAATTATTTTTTTCAAAGTTATTCTTTTAGAAATATCAAATGTTATCAAAATAAATATATTTAACTCTCATTATTTGGTTTACTGTTACAAACACACACTGTACAGAAGAATGTAGCATGTTTTAAATTAAAAATAGGTAAGTGTACACACTGATTGTTATGTATATTAACTTTTTAATAATTTTTTCTTTAAATATATTTTAGTTTTTTAATACACATTTCATTAGGCATTATATGAAATTAATTAGTTAAATTATTTAATTTTATAAAATTAAGGTAATATTTTAAATAAATTTTAAATAGACATAAATATATAGATATATTGGTTGTTCAAATAAATTTTGTAAAACAATTAAAAATAACTATAAATATGGATTAAAAATATAATATGTAATAAATTTTACATATTAACAAATAAAATTAAAAATGAATGACTATAATATATTTTTTATATTATATTAATGTTATAACATAATTAACTTTACATATATTTAACACTCCAAAATTTTACTATTTTTAATTAAATATAAATCATATTAGTTCAATTAAATTAGAAATTTATATCATATGCAAAATTAAAGAAAGGAATACACTTATCAAAATTGACCCAAAAATAGAACAATTTATGGAAGAATTGGGTAATGCAAGTAAGGAATGATCCAAATTTTAGTAGAGATTAATTATTCAAATTAATTGAAGTGATTATAAACTATCTAAATGGCTTAATTTGTTTTTGGTCCTTATAAATATTGAGCATTTTGCTATAAGTTTTTATAAAAAATTTTGTTATAATTTAGTCTTTAAAAAGTTAAGAAATTAGGATTTAGTCCTTGCCATCAACTTTTTTATGTTAAGTGCTGAACTAGCTGATGAAATGCCAGCAGCTCAGCACTCTTACGTGGCACCACGTGACATGCCAGTCATTTAGTTTTTCATTTTTTATTATTTCAAATTATATAATTGCTAATAAGTTTCTAAATATATTTTACATAATTGTATACAAAGTCCTTTTAACTTTTTTCTTTCTTCTCTGCAACCCTCCCCCTCCCATCCTTATAACCCCCTTCCACCATCCTTTCTCGACCTTTGAGGTATAGGGAGGAATCCAGATTGTTGAGAAAATGCATAGCTTCTAATGTAAGTGGTTTGGTAGAGATGATTCTAGTTTAAGTGGTTTGGTAGAGATGCCCCTAAAAGTCATTGAGAAGATATTATTTACCGCACGACACAATCTTGAAAGGGTAAAGAAAAGGGGTTGGGAGAAAGGTGCTCGGTGATGGTGGCAAATGAGAGGAGTTGTCAAAAAAGAATGTGGAGAAGCGGTGGAAGTGGGGGAAAGGGGAGGGAGAATGGATTGTGGGGGAGGGGGTGGGGGTGGGGGTGGGGGTGGGGGAAAGGATTCTGGAAGGGGGTTGTGGGGGAGGGGAGGGGAAGGGTTGCAAAGAAGGAAAAAAAAGTCAAAAGAGTTTTTATGTAATTATGTAAAATGTGTTTAAGAATTTATTAACAATTATATAATTTTAAATAATAAAAAATAAATAACATAGCATACTACGTAGCGCCATGTAGAAGTATTGAGCTGACACTCTGTCAGCCAGCTCAGTACTTAAAAGCATTGCTTATATGATGTGGAAATGATTGGAATTTTTGAGAAATTTTCAATCCTATCTAATTTATCTCATTTGCATGGTTTGTGACTTGAAAGTAAAGCTAAATTGGTAATACTTAAGTGGGGAAACAGTTGAATGGAATAAGTCAATGGGAGAAATAGCTTAAACTATAAAAATTGCATGAAATGACACTTGATTCCAGGAAGGATTCTTACTCAATTAACCTGACTAGATGTAAATAAATCTTCCCTAACTAATCAATTATTGGTGTTAATAAAAGGAAAAGAACCGAGCTTAGTTAGCAAAGGGTTGTACCACATTAAAAGCTAAGTTTATCTACTATATGCAAGATTTTTGTTGACCAATTTACACATGGCTACAAGCTGATTGGAAGGACACTTTCTAAAGTGAAGTTGTTGAACATAGACCACATAAAGTAGTCGTATGGTCCCTAGCCAAAGGAGAGCAAAAGAAAATTTGAAAAGTTTAAGCGAAGAGAGACCTCACTTTCATGTGAAACCAAGGAACCTAGGGAGAGAAAGTGCAAAAAATTTCCTAACGTATCCAATTCGAACCTTTCTAAACCTTTCAAACTAACAAAAAAAATTCTAGAGAAACCTCACGTCACAAACATGACCTAGTTCATAACCAAATAATTGAAAAGTTCTAAATAAAACTAGACAAAGCCCTAGTACCCCACAAAGCCACTTAAGTAGAAAAGTCCAATTTCCTTAGAAACTCTTTTGCCACATAAAGGAACTGACTTCAAGGAGCAAAGAGAGAGTCTAAGGCTTATCAAATAGCAAGAAAGGGAGATGAGACAATCACCCACATTTAATCTCACAAAAATAATCAAACAAAAATTAAGTAAAGGAGGGAAATATTAGTTCATAAATTAGGAGATATTTTTGCTAAATGATTTTGAGTCAAGGAGAACCATTAACCTTTTTTTATTTGATGAAAATTTTGTTGTCCTAGTTGGTACATGAAATTAAAATTGGTTGCACAAAGAAAATCTAAGAAAATCCCAAAAACAAAAAGTTC